TAAGCCATCAAATAAAACTCAATGCCAAAAGACTCGAACATAAACATAACCGACTCCATGAGACACAACTATGTTATGCATGTGGTACCCGTCGCTTTGTCCATAATTAGGGACATTCGGCATAAAATCTCATCGTCGCTTTGGCATAAAATCCCTCGTCGCTTGGCATAAAAGCCCTTGTCGCCAATGCAATGTATGTGACTCGACAACACGACATCACAAACACGACACAACAAAACTTCATCATCGCATATCAAAATTGGTATAAAACTCACGTCTCCATATTTATCCACATCAAGATAAACATATCATCGCATCGCATATCATCAAGTATTCATTATAAATAAACTGTCACAAACATCATATTTAACCACACCACATCATTATCAAATAATTCACTAAATTTCAAACACGGAAAAATAGTCAAACATCAATAATCGTCCCGAAAATCATTCATAATAATCGGCACCAATCATAATCATTAATGTCGCAATCAGATTGTCCATACATGACTTAAACCGACTAAAACGCAATCCGGTTCAACTTAACCGTAAATTGACTTATTTCGGGTCGCTCAATTAAAAACTCGTAATCTCAAAAAACTATCCTCACCACGACATTCTACACGTCAAAATTAGCTAGCACGCCAATTTTCGTTAAATTCAGAGCAACTTGCTCCGTCACCGAAATTGCCGAAATCAGAACATAATCGAATTCCAAATTAAATCGGCTAACTTATATCATATTTGTACTTAATTAATATAAGGGTTAATACCTATTTTCACCCCTGACATATGGGGTGTATTTGAAAAACCCCCCTGTAAAAAAAAAAGTTCCAATTGTTACCTTGACAAATTTTAAAAGTTTCAATTTTTACCTTGAGGATGCCACATCCCTAAAAAGGCTGATGTGGCTTATATTTTTGTTATATTTTTATTATTATTTAATGACATGGCTTGATTAGTTGTCATTTTTAATTAATTTTTAATTTTTAATTCCACATGGCATTTATATTAATAATTAATTTTTAATTTTTAATTCCACATGGCATTTATATTAATATTTTATTAATTGAGTGTTAATTCAAAGTTTAAAAAATTTTGTCCTTCAGCAGGATTCGAACCATGGACATTATGTTTGCAATAAACGCTTCTTACCACTAGACCAACGCATTTTCTTTGTTACATATATGCATCAATAAATATTCATATCATTAACATATTAATTACAATTATCAATAAATTTTCTTAACTAGTTAATTTAAATAATTTTAAAAAAAAATGTTTTATACATATTTTATCTTTTTACTCTAACTTTTTTTAAATTTTAAATTTTCAAAAATCACTTAAATTTAAAAAAATCACTTAAATTTTCAAAAAACACTTAAATTTAAAAAAATCACTTAAATTTAAAAAAATCACTTAAATTTTCAAAAATCACTTAAATTTTCAAAAGTCACTTAAATTTTCAAAAATCACTTAAATTTTCAAAAATCACTTAAATTTTCAAAAATCACTTAAATTTTCAAAAATCACTTAAATTTACAAAAATCACTTAAATTTAAAAAAATCACTTAAATTTAAAAAAATCACTTAAATTTTCAAAAATCACTTAAATTTTCAAAAATCACTTAAATTTTCAAAAGTCACTTAAATTTTCAAAAGTCACTTAAATTTTCAAAAATCACTTAAATTTAAAAAAATCACTTAAATTTTCAAAAATCACTTAAATTTTCAAAAGTCACTTAAATTTTCAAAAATCACTTAAATTTTCAAAAATCACTTAAATTTTCAAAAATCACTTAAATTTTCAAAAATCACTTAAATTTTCAAAAGTCACTTAAATTTTCAAAAATCACTTAAATTTTCAAAAGTCACTTAAATTTTCAAAAATCACTTAAATTTTCAAAAGTCACTTAAATTTTCAAAAATCACTTAAATTTTCAAAAATCACTTAAATTTTCAAAAATCACTTAAATTTAAAAAAATCACTTAAATTTAAAAAAATAAGTTAAATTTAAGTGATTTTAAATTTAAGTGATTTAAATTTAAGTGATTTTTGAAAATTTAAGTGACTTTTGAAAATTTAAGTGATTTTTGAAAATTTAAGTGATTTTTGAAAATTTAAGTGACTTTTGAAAATTTAAGTGATTTTTGAAAATTTAAGTGATTTTTGAAAATTTAAGTGATTTTTGAAAATTTAAGTGATTTTTGAAAATTTAAGTGACTTTTGAAAATTTAAGTGATTTTTGAAAATTTAAGTGATTTTTGAAAATTTAAGTGATTTTTTTAAATTTAAGTGATTTTTGAAAATTTAAGTGATTTTTGTAAATTTAAGTGATTTTTGAAAATTTAAGTGATTTTTGAAAATTTAAGTGATTTTTGAAAATTTAAGTGACTTTTGAAAATTTAAGTGATTTTTGAAAATTTAAGTGATTTTTTTAAATTTAAGTGATTTTTTTAAATTTAAGTGTTTTTTGAAAATTTAAGTGATTTTTTTAAATTTAAGTGATTTTTGAAAATTTAAAATTTAAAAAAAGTTAGAGTAAAAAGATAAAATATGTATAAAACATTTTTTTTTAAAATTATTTAAATTAACTAGTTAAGAAAATTTATTGATAATTGTAATTAATATGTTAATGATATGAATATTTATTGATGCATATATGTAACAAAGAAAATGCATTGGTCTAGTGGTAAGAAGCGTTTATTGCAAACATAATGTCCATGGTTCGAATCCTGCTGTAATGTCCATGGTTCACATCAGCCTTTTTAGGGATGTGGCATCCTCAAGGTAAAAATTGAAACTTTTAAAATTTGTCAAGTAACAATTGGAACTTTTTTTTTTCAAATACACCCCATATGTCAGGGGTGAAAATAGGTATTAACCCTTAATATAAATATTTAATATATTAAATTAAGAAAAGAAAAAAAAAACATTAATTAATTAATTTTTCTAAACTTATTTTCAATTACTAATACTGTCATTACGTATGTTTCTTCCTAAACTTCATTCTACTGCTATTACATTTGTTTCTTCCTAAACTTCATTCTACTGCTATTACATTTTAGTTTTCAAAAGTTTAATTTCAAGTGGCATATGCTATTCTCAGTAAACTTATTTCAAGTGACATATGTTATTCCTTAGTTTTAGAAGTTTATCTTCATTTCAACCTAAAACGTAGTATACTGTTAGTTTATCAATTTTTTTTTTTTAAACTACACTTCAATGTGCTTTAGTCCCTAACTTCATTTTTTAGTTATAAACTAAACTCCACTTAAATTATACTGTTAGTTCTTCCTTTTTAAACTAAGGCATACTGCTATTATTTATGAAATGTAATATAAATTAATTTTTCTAATTTAATTTCTATTAACATAACAATAATCCCACAACACTAACACTTAAATTAACTCTCTTAATTTATCTCAACAAATCTCAAAAATCCTAACATCAATTTTATCCCAAATGAAAATATACCAAATCAAACCCTAACTATAAGCATTGGAAAATCAAATCCCTTACCTTAAATATTTGAAATGATTCTTGTTCTTCCAACCCAAAACTCAAATTAGCTCTTGCTCCTCTTCTCTTCTAAGACCTCTTTCTCTTGCTCTCTCTCTCTCTATATGTGTTTTAATATTATGATACAAAACCAGGAAATGGTGGATTTTGTTTGTTTAGAACAAGACACTAGCAAGCAAAAATACCAAAAAAGTCATTGGTTTTACTACTAGTTATAACACTAATAATACTAAATAATATTATTAACCCAAATAATTAAAATAACTCCAAATAATTAAATATCGATCCGAATAATATTTTACCGAACCAAATGGAATAAAAACCGGACCGAACAAAATAATTACCGGTCCCTTAAAATAAATACCAGACCGAATAAAATAATTACCGATCTCTCAAAATAAATACCGGACCGAATAAAATAATTACCGGTCTCTCAAAATAAATACTGGACCGAATAAAATAATTACCGGTCCCTCAAAATAAATACTGGACCGAATAAAATAATTATCGGTCCCTCAAAATAAATACCGTACCGAATAAAATAATTATCGGTCTCTCAAAATAAATACCGGACCGAATAAAATAATTATCGGTCCCTCAAAATAAATACCGAACCGAATAAAATAATTACCGGTTCCTCAAAATAAATACCGGACCGAATAAAATAATTACCGGTCCCTCAAAATAAATACGAGACCGAATAAAATAATTACCGATCTCTCAAAATAAATACCGGACCGAATAAAATAATTACCGGTCCCTTAAAATAAATACCAAACCGAATAAAATAATTACCGGTCCGAATAAAACATCGCTGAATATATTAACAGATATATCGGTTAATTTAAATATTCTCATCGCAAAAATAAACGTCACACGGTAACTCGGAAATATTAATATAATATAATATTAAATAAAACGGGGCGTTACACATTGTGTAATTTAAAACATTAATATAAGATATTTTTAGTTACTTTTATTTTTATTTAAAAAAATTACTAAATACAATGTCAAGCCACACAAAACGGAATGCATGCATGCGCCACACTGCATGGCATTATATAGGAGGACAAACCATGCAGTGTGATGCCTCCTCTTTATTTTATATGTATATGTCACACAAAGTGGCATTTCCTCTCTCTGACGGATTTTTTTTATTTGAAAAATAATTATTTTAGTAAATATTTCGAAAATGTGGTTATTTATTTATTTATTTTGAAAAAAAAGTTGATTTAAAAAAAAAATCGTGTAATATGCACAAAACATGAGGGAAAGAAAGGAAAGAAAGGAGTAGCAGTAAACACGATAAGACGTGAAAAAGAAAGAGAGAAAGTCTCGTGATACTCCATTTTATTTTCAGTTTTATCTCTCTCAATCTGTATATAAATAGGTTTTTATGTCTTTCAATTTTGCACTTTAGCGCTCTATTCAATCAACTCTAATTTCAAATCATTCGTAATCGGAGTTAGTTACCGATGACGGTACCGATAGCGATGCAGTCGACACCGGGAAGTTCAGGCTACTTGGATATGCATCCTGACCGCAAGATGTCCTTTTTCAAGAATCCTTACATTCTCGGTCTCGCCGCCGTCGCCGGAATCGGTGGTCTTCTCTTCGGTTACGATACCGGTTAAGTTTCATTTCATCATTTTAACTTCAATTAAGCTTCAATTGATGCTTGTAATGATAATCGTAATAATAGTTTGCATTTTCGATCACAGGTGTTATATCAGGAGCTCTTTTGTATATTAAAGATGATTTTGAACAAGTCAGAAACAGTAGTTTTCTACAGGTACTATACTAGGCTTTTCGAAGAGAAAAAAAAAGGTGTATAATTGATTTTAGAATGATTTTGAGGTGTTTGATTCTTCATTAATTCATTCAGAATTGATTCTACTTGAAACTATAATTTGTAGCTTTTGAGTTTAAATAGGATTCTTACATTGAAATTTGCTTATTGACTTTTACATAAATTTATCCAAACATAAATCATTTTTACCTTCAATTCACTCTAGTTAGAATTAATTTTACAGATTCAATTCTTATGAATTATAAGTTGTTTTTATAAGTTATTTTTAATATGAGATTGCTTGGATAAACAACTTATTTGCGGCTTATAGCATAATCGCTTATCGTAGTAAGTGCTTATGTATAAGCTATTTCTGATTCAAAAAATGAAATAAAGTTCAATTATTTTTGGTTTGAGTTATTAGTTGTTTTCATAAGCTATCTTAGAGAATTTATGGAAATAAGCTTGAAAACAATTTATGAAAGTTGTTTCTATAAGTTCTCCCAAACAGTTTCACAAAATTTATACTAGTAGATAAGTTTAAATAAGCCAATCCAAGCAGTCCTAGATTCAGAAAAATAATTTTCTATGGTACTTCTATAATATGCCTGTAACTAATGTTGCTGTCTAAATAATCAGCTTAATCATTATTGGACAAAGTCAAACTGTTTTCATATAAGTTGTAACCTGTAAGCTGATTTTATAAACTATGGTAGAGAGCTTATGGAAATAAGCTGAAAACATCTTATAGATGTGTTATAAGCTATTTCTATAAGCTGTACTAAAGAGTCTCACAAGTGTTTTGTGGATAAGTTTAAGTAAATAATTCTAAGCAAACCATTCATTAACACCTATAGTAGAAACATTTATTGTATAAGTACTTAGGTTGAAGTTGATTTCGTAAAATAACATGTAATAAAGTCAAATTGCTTTCAAACTTTTCAGATAAGTTATAAATTGTTTTTATAAGCTATTATGTAGAGCTTATAGGAATAAGATGTAAACAGTTTAGGGATGCTTCATAAGCTCAACCGAATAGTCTCACAAGTGTTTATGCTAGTAGATAAGCCAATCAAAATAGGCCATAAGTCATTCCTTTTTCTGATTCTCAATTTTTGTGTTTCTCTCAATCTCAGGAAACAATAGTTAGCATGGCAATTGCTGGTGCAATTGTTGGTGCAGCATTTGGTGGTTGGATTAATGACACTTACGGAAGAAAGAAGGCCACACTTTTAGCCGATGTTATATTCATTCTTGGAGCAATTCTCATGGCCGCTGCACCTGATCCTTATGTTCTCATTGTCGGACGTCTTCTAGTTGGGTTGGGTGTTGGCATAGCTTCTGTTACTGCTCCTGTCTATATTGCAGAAGCTGCACCCTCTGAAATCAGAGGTTCATTAGTCAGCACCAATGTTCTCATGATTACTGGCGGACAGTTTATTTCCTATCTTGTTAATCTTGCTTTCACTGAGGTTAGTGTGTTAGTCTGCCGCGCTCTTCTTCTCTGTAGATGGATATGTGTGCATTTTCCATCCACATGTTTGCTTTTTAGGTTTGTCTCATTGACCATATTTCATATTTTTTAGGTTTTACTTCTATTGTTTCTTGATTCCATTTCTACCGATACAACGAACATTAAGATATAATATTTTTGGAAATTTCGTAAAATTTTCAAAACATTGTGTTTGGTGTATCCAGAAATGCATTCTCTCGAGATAGCTTCCATCCTCTCTCTATTGCAATTAAAACTAAAAATCAATAACCAAATGTCTTTTCAACCATTCACATACAATGTAAGAATATGAAATGTCTTTTCAACCATTCACATACAATGTAAAAATATGAAATTGAAAATGTTGTTAGAAAGTAAACGTGTCTTAAATTGAACAGGTTCCCGGGACATGGCGATGGATGCTTGGTGTTTCAGCTGTGCCTGCAATTATTCAGTTTGTTCTCATGCTCTTCCTCCCCGAATCCCCAAGATGGCTATTTTTAAAGGTACAAATTTTCTCTTCTCAACAATTGTGTCCTAGATTTACTTATACTTCAGAAGTAACTTGTTTATAATGCCATTTTAAAATTTCATTATCTTGGTGTACAGAATAGGAAAAATGAAGCTGTTGATGTGATTTCTAAGATCTATGACTTGTCTCGTTTAAAGGATGAAATTGACTTCCTAACTGCTCAATCAGAACAAGAGCGCCAAAGAAGGAGCACTATCAAATTTTGGCATGTTTTCAGATCAAAAGAAACCCGACTGGCTTTCCTTGTTGGAGGAGGACTTCTGGTAATAAAATAAAATGTTTGTAATGAAACTGTTTTTGCTGAACATAACTTGATCGTAGTTAAAGGATCTTTGTAAAGGCTCTTTTCTGTCAATATGTTAACTATAACATTCTACTTTATTAAACATATGTAAATATGAGTCACTGTTGCAGAATCAGTATTCCGGTTATGAGAAATCATAGGCTTGTGCTAGATATGTTGGTTTACTCTAAAACAGAAGTGTGTACTTGAAATCACCAAGTTAAAATAGAACGGCTTGATTACATCATTATGAGTGATTTCATATGTAATAAGCTCTGTAAAAGTGAAAATATCACTGTTAAAATAATTTAGGGTCAGTTTCCTATAATTGAGAATTTCGCATTGAGTTTGTAATGTTTATAGCTTTAAAATTTAAAACCACAATGCTGGAAACTTTTTACTTTAGGAGCTGAAATTCTATTGAATAGAAAATATCAGTAAAGAAAGTTGACTAGATGGGTATAGTTTAACAGCAAATGGTGGAAACCAAGATAAATTATAGATCAAATCATTTAGAGAGATTTATAGAAAACGGTTTTTCTTTGAAGTTGATACATATTAGGGAATATGACATTGTTAAATTCATGTAAGTGGCTTCACCTTCTGTTAAGGCTTGGTTGTTGTTGTTGCTGCTCAATACTTTTATTGATCTTTGCCGTGATGAGCGTTTTCATTACTTTTCACTTAATTTCATTTTGTCATGTATTCAATCAATGCCGTCATAGTAAAATTTTGTCTTATATCTTTTTGTTTCAACTTTGAATCGAAACTCCAGTCTGGCCCTTGCCTTGATTGTTTTACCATACTTTGTTGTAATTAGGCTATTTATTTGAATATAAAGTTACTTCGATTCTATGGTTGTGCAGGCTTTTCAGCAGTTTACAGGTATAAACACAGTCATGTACTACAGTCCAACAATTGTACAAATGGCTGGCTTTGAGGCCAATAAGTTGGCTATTCTTCTGTCCCTCGTTGTTGCTGGCATGAATGCTGTCGGAACAGTTCTCGGCATTTACCTTATTGACAATACAGGGCGGAAAAAACTTGCCCTTTACAGTTTGGGAGGAGTAATTGCATCCCTTGTAATGTTGTCCCTAGCATTTTATAAGCAGTCATCATCTTCCAATGTAGTGTATGGATGGCTCGCAGTTCTCGGTCTAGGCCTTTATATTGGTTTTTTCTCGCCCGGAATGGGGCCAGTGCCTTGGACTGTAAACTCAGAGATATATCCTGAAGAATATAGAGGTATATGCGGTGGCATGGCAGCTACCGTGAATTGGATTTCAAATTTGATTGTGTCAGAGAGCTTTCTTTCGATTGCTGACGGTATCGGTATTGCTCCAACGTTCTTGATTATTGCTGGTATAGCTGTGGTGGCATTTCTGTTTGTATTTCTGTATGTTCCAGAGACTCAAGGATTGACATTTGATGAAGTGGAGTTAATATGGAAGGAGAGAGCTTGGGGCAAGAACCCAAACACACAAAGCCTTCTTGAGCATGGAAGTCAATCATAAGTATTAGCATAATTAAATGTGTATTGGATTCCCTCTGGTCACCGTTATAAGTTGATTTAATTTTTTTGTTCATTCAACCGTTGATGTATTTGGTCTATATATAAAGCATCAGGTGTATTAGTTGTAAAAATTGCGACAGAAGAGATTGTCATTTATTTAAGTATTTGCTTCATTCCATATGCACATGGATCTTGGTTTGATGTAGTTATATTTATGTGTGTGTATATATGTATGTATTGGCATGTTTGGATTTTTTGACATTAAAATTTTGATATCGAATACGACAGTTTTTAGTTTGTGTGCTGTTAACTATTGAATGCTTCCAAGTTTGTGAACTATTGTGTTTTTCTTAGTAGTTGTGAACTATTGATTTATGTAATGTTTTAACATCCATTTTTGTATGTTAGCATGATGAGTAAATATGTGTAGCTCTTATAATAATATGAAAAGTTAAAAACTGAGAAAATTAAATCTTAAGATGACGTTTCATACAAATATGTTATAGTAGTAAAATTATATTATGTCTAACGATATAAGAACAATCAGTACTTAAGGCTTAGTTATGGTTCATTTTATTGTTTCCGAGGAAAAAAATATGGAACACAACCAACTAGTTCAATGAAATTACAAAAGAAAAAACATCATAAAATTGGTTAGAGGATTTCTTTTTCCACTATGGTTTTTTAATATACCACGCGAAATTTCTTAAATATTTTTTAAAATTAGAAATATATTTCCGATGCGCACCATATTAGTTATAGAAATTGGATGTAAATCGAAAATATATTTTCGGTTGCACCTCAACCACAATTGTGGCCTACGAATCCAAGTTATAGGCAATATGTAAATCGAAAATGCAATTATGATATTAACTCAAAATATATTTTCGGTTTCAGTGGCGACTTAAACGTGCCACAACTCTTCCCCTCCCTCATTACATAATAGTTTTCAAAACAACAAAAACAAAACAGACCCATTATCCATTTCTCTCAAACACCATTGTTACAATATCAAACCAAATTTGCAAAAAACTCGTCACAAATTGTCAAACATCAGTTTACTCAAGTGTCCAACCACACTCAATCAAGGAAAATCAACAATTAAAAGTTGTTTTTGAGTTATTTATAGTTTATGTAATTTTTACTCAAACTAGTGTTTTAGGTTAGAAATTGGGAATTTGTTGTTTGTTTTCAATATTAGACATCATTAGTTAACTGTTGAGAGACTCATTTTGATGATCAATGGCATTTTGTTTGAGCTTGTATGTGCCTCTACTTCGCCATTGACGGAGCTTAAAATTACAGGTCGAACCGAAAATAAATTTTCGATTTTCATTTTGAACAAAATCGAAAATGTATTTCCAGTTTTAGTCTGTTTCTATTTCCCCATCATTTTGAACAATGGTCTTTGTGTTTTAACGTTTTTTACGTACTTCTACAGAAGTAATGGTCGAGAGACCATCAAGGTTTAGGCACGACCGACTTGTACATCATGCTTTTGTGCAGAGAGAAAGGAGTCAGACATCCCATGCTCCTTCTGCCTCTAGACAGACTGTGTCAGATGCGTGTATTACTGCCTCTGGCTCTGGCTCAACAGTCTATGCAGGAACGTGATCTGCTGAAGGTCATTAATCATGGGCGGAAGATCAGTAAACTAGTACCCTCTGTTGAGCCATGGTTTGATAAGTTGTTGATGCTTACAGGGTTGAAAGATTTGACCGAGTATGGTTATACCGTCATTAATCTTGGTATGGTTAACGCTTTTGTTAAGAGGTGGCACCATGAGACGTCGTCATTCCATCTACCACATGGTGAGGTGACGATCACATTGAACAATGTCGCGTCTCTGTCGTATTTCCCGATTAGAGATACGTTCTTATACCATGAAATGATTGACAAAGAGGAGGTGTTAGATATGTTGGTAGAGAAATTGGGAGAGACCCCTAAGAGCGCCATGGCTGAGTTGGACTTTATTGTGATTTTGTTACTAATTAATAATTATTGTTAGTTCAGGGATGAATCCTAACGCACTTCTCTCGCATCTCGGGTTAATCACTAGCTGCTGATTATACTAAAGCTAAGTCGCGTGCCACTGCATACGACCCCCTTCAAGGGAGTCAGGCGACAAAGTCGTTTCAGGTGTATATTGACCAACTGGTGTTTGAGGACATACACTTTTATTGATACCATGACCACTGTGTCACGATACTATTTGATGATGTTGCGTTGTTTACGAGATGGTTGGCTTGCGGGTCGCGCAAGATGACAACTTATATGCCTGAGCGCGTCATACGTCAGTTCAGGTACACCTAGACCATTCCCTAGGATCGTGCTTTATTTGCTCCTCCCCTGGTGAAATGCAGGGATATGGATGCTTTTTTTTTATGATTATGAGAATCATCTTGTTCCATATAAGGCCCATAGTACCATTTCTCCAGATGACTGGAGCTACATTGATGGTTATATCATATGGTTCTTCAGGGTGTCCCATCCATACCTGGTACAAGATTCTCCAAGAAATCCTCTAAGGCCAGCTCATCAGGAGATTCTAGAGGAAAAGCAGACACAGGTCGATCATGCCACTGATGTGTTGCCTAGGTGTCATCGTATCATGGATATCGTGTAGAAGGATATTGATGGTGGTTTGTTTTCCGATGACTCTGATGTTAGAGGTGTTCTGGATGCCATTATGGAAGAGGATGAGGGGCTCTGCAATACAGGAGACAGGGGAGGAATGCAAGGAGGGTGACAGGCCGACTCAGAGTCCACCATACCTAGTAGTATTTTTTGTTGTATATGTATTTTGGTTATTTTTTTTATTGTATTTGGATAATATTTTGGGTTACTCTCTATATTGACTATGTACACCTTTTGTACTGTTTACTGATATATATTTATATATGTATTTGTTCTATATGTCTTTTTAGTATGTTCTGGTGTATACGTCTTTGTATTCAATGCGAAACAACATGCAAAAAAATCCACTACCAGCATAACTCTTTATGGTTATGCCAGTACAATAACCAGAAATACATTTCCGGTTCTCTTCAGAAATATATCCGATTTCAAATCAACATTGAACAGAAAAAGGTGCGCACCAGAAATATATTACCGGTTTCCAGGGACAGTTTAGGAAATGCATAGGGTATTTATTTTCACTATAGGGTGGAAAGATAAATTGCCAAATTATTAACCATGGTTGTAATTTAATATTAGTTCGAATTAGTTTTAATAACTAATCTGCTAAGTTATACTCCCTCTGTTTCAAATTGTTTGAGAAAAAAAATTGTTTCAAAATGAATGTCATTCTCACTTTTCAATCTAGAAATGATTACTATTTTTTTAATTGTATCCAAAATGATTCTATTCCTCTCCAAAATGATACTTTTCAAGATTCTGATAAAAAAGCACCATTCTCACCATTATGGTTGATTACAGTCTTGATTATTATTCCCAACACACGTCTGTTCGACGTGAGAGGGCTAAATTTCATAATAAGTTGGCCAGGGCTAGGCGAGGAACCGTCCCTAGACCTCTTGACGGGGAAGCATCAACTTCTAGGAGCCACCTTTAACATGGGTCCTCATCACATTGGCACGTCTCTCATGCTCATGAAAATTGGAAGGAAGCTCATGTTGCACATGATGGTGTCCATGCACCTGCAGACCCTTATCCAGGAGGGCTCTCTGACACCACCTTACTGATATACTATAGAGATTATATTGTTGAGCATTGTCTGGGTCAGAGAGGTATATTTGTTAACAATTGTTATTTATATGTTTTTATACAAGTTCCTTGTGATTGATATTGTTTTTTTAAAGGAAAGCGATTGTTTGAAGTTTGTTAACCACATCCGAAAGATTTTGCAACTTTATCACCTTGAGGATGATTGGTTCCAATGTGTCATCCTATACTCTGATCTTGCCGACCTATGTTCTTTCGAGTACAATATTATTAGCCATGGTATGTGATAAGTGTAAATTATAACTATTTTTGTATATACTTTTTGTTGCACTTATCGACTTTTTGTTGTTAATATTGTTGAATAAACCCGACTTTTGTGTAAATACATTTAGTTTGTGTTTATTTGTACTTTTGTGTACATAGTATATCATTTAATGTTTTTCCATTCATTTTGTAGGTATTTTTTGAATTTTGGAGCATCGAGGAATAAAGTGTCGAAGGCACGACTCTGGATGCGCGTTTTCAGAATAAAAGACCAGTTTTGGGATGTTCTGTCCAGGAGAGCCTGCTTAGCGCGAGCGCGCTCAGCGTATTTTGTAGCGCGCTGCTTGCGTTTTTACTTTTTTGGCTGAAGCATTGTTTTGAAGCCCGCTTAGCGTGGATAGCACGCTTAGCACGGTTTACGGCGGTTTAGTGTGTAAAATAATGAAGTTGCGCTTAGCGTGTCAGGCCCGCTTAGCGTGGTCTGCTGAGTTCAGTTTTATAAAAACAGATTTAGTTCATTTTTAGGTTATGGTTTTGGGGAAGTTTTTGCTCCCAACTCCATCAACCTTTAATTTTGTTAGGATTAGCTTAGATAACAACTATGAAGCTTGCATACGAATGATCTGGAGTGGATTTCTCTTTGATCGATGTTGACAAACTGGTAGATTTGTGGTTTATTTCTCTTTTTCTTTGTGTATTCTCTATTGGTTGGGTTTGGACATGTATTTACTTTGGTCTTATGTGTATTTGTTGCCCTTGGCATTATATAAAACTTGCTTTACAAATCTTTGTCGATTGTTATCCTTGATTTTTGCTTTGCGCTAGTGATTTGAGTTGTTATAGACATATACTGCTTAAATTCTTATCTAGGATAATTATCTAATTCTGTCTGAACTCTAGAGATAGATTTAGTGCTATTATTCACTTAGGGTGTATGTGATTAATGCCTCTATGTTGTTTGTGTCGCTCCGAGAGATCGTCGATGCAAGCGAGTACGGTTGACTTCTGTGTTGTTGAGATAGTTGAGAGATTATTACCGAGGTGATGTAGTCG